TTTCTTGGTGTCAAAGATCATTAGCAGGTTGACGGTTTTCCTACTCTTGTAATATATTGTTAGTTTTATCTTTTGGTTGTCGTCATTTGGGGTAACGTTCCTCTCAATGATCTCTTTTAGGGCTCTTTCCTCTGCTTTGTAGGCAGATCACACACATATATATAACAATAAGTGTTCGAAGACCTCGTCCAACTCTTCAGAGGTTGGGTGCGTACCCAAGATCCGATACAGCACGTATTGCCCCTCTGAACTGCGACACTGGAACAAGAAACTGCCCGCTCTTGAGTCTTGTTTTCCCAATGAGGTCCTCTCCCACCTCCTTTAGGAACTTGAGTGCACATTTACCCCAGGCACCCAGAGTCTCAGAGCCTATCAGCACGAACCTGTAACAACATTCTAGGTCCTTGTACTTGTTGGTTTTCTGGGTCTCCCTGAAGGTGGCTACCCCGCCTCCCTCAGCTGTACTGAGAGGTAGATATGCATCAGCCAATGTAGACGCACAGGTGTAGTCTCACATGACTTGTTTACCATCCCTCCATGACTGCAGTATTAGACGAGCCAAAACTAATTACTACGAAGATAAATTTACTCAAATAAAGAGCAACATTAAACAAACTTGGAGCACAATTTCACAAATATTGGGATCAAAGAAATCTTTAAATAACAAACCGACTCTCCTGTCTAATAACGATGGTCAGCTTTCAGCCTCTGATTCTGCTATTGAGTTCAATAGGTTCTTCTCTTCCATTGGTTCATCCCTTGCAAATGATATTCCATCTTCCAGTACTGACATTAAGGACTATCTTACAGGTAACTATCCACAGTCTCTGTACCTAAAGCCTATTAACTCCACTGACGTCAATGAGATAATCCTTTCCCTTAAAACCAAGTCTGGTGCCCTTGAGGAGATACCAACTTTAATTTACAAAAAAGCCTCCAGATCTTTAGCCCCTGCTATTGCTTTGCTCTTCAACAAGTCACTTGAACTCCAAACCTTTCCAGATATTCTAAAAAAAGCGAGAGTAACGCCTGTCCACAAATGTGGTGACCCCACAGATGTTAACAACTACAGACCTATATCAATCCTGCCAAACTTGTCAAAAATTTTTGAAAAACTTATATACAAGCAGCTTTACTCATATCTAGCCAAACTCAATATACTTAGCCCTTGCCAATATGGCTTCAGACCCAAAAAAAGCACTAACGATGCACTTATTAGTATGCTTAACTCGATTCATTCAGCTCTTGATAAAAAAGAGTTCTCTGTTGGGTTATTTGTGGACCTGCGTAAAGCTTTTGATACTGTCAACCACCAAAACCTTCTTCTTAAATTACATCATTATGGAGTCAGAGGACACTCCCTACAATACCTCGAGTCCTACCTTACTGACAGGCTCCAATATGTTTCTGTGAATAATACAATTTCTCCCACCCTACCCATCAACATTGGTGTTCCTCGGGGCAGCATACTTGGCCCTCTCCTCTTTCTCATCTACATTAATGACCTTCCAAATGCCTCCCAACACCTCAAACCAATTCTATTTGCTGACGACACAACCTTCATTTACTCCAGTCCTGACCCTCTTGCTCTAAATGCCACAGTAAATACTGAGCTAAATAAAGTCCATCTTTGGCTAACTGCCAACAAACTCACCCTTAACATTGACAAAACCTTCTATATTCTGTTTGGCAATAAATCCTCTAGTCTTATAAATCTCAAAATAAACAATACCCAAATTTGTAACAAATTAGATGGCAAATTCCTTGGCATTCTCATTGACCACAAGCTGAATTTCCAGGGACACATTCTAAATATATCAAAAAAAGTTTCAAAAACTGTGGGCATTCTTTCTAAGATCAGATATTATGTACCACGCCCTGCTCTGGTGACTCTCTATTACTCCCTTATCTATCCTTATCTCAACTATGGTATTTGTGCTTGGGGTTCTACTACCCAAAATCACTTACGTCCTCTAATTACCCAACACAAAGCCGCTATTAGAACAATATCCAACTCTGGCCCCAGACATCACTCGGTACCCCTACTCAAATCTCTTAATATGTTAGATATTAAGTCACTGCACATTCTCTCATGTGTATTATACATATATAAAACGCTAAACTATAATGCCAATCCTGATCTTAAAAGCTTCATAGAAGGTTGTAACAGAACCCATGAGCACCACACCAGAAATAAATACAGTTTTGATATTCCTAGAGTACGTCTTAATCAAACTAGAAATGCTCTGCAAATCAAGGGGCCCAGAATGTGGAATGACCTTCCCAACCATGTTAAAGACTGTACCTCTCTCAACCAGTTTAAGATAAAAACTAAACACTACCTAATAAATTCCCTGTAATCTACCTCACTCCTCTATTGTCAACCCATGTCTGTTATTTTCTTTTTTTTCTTTTTTTTTAATCAACACTGTTTGTCAACCTATTGTATTTGTGCTGCTTTTTCAGTCATGTTCCCCCTTTTTTTTTATCTTTATTTGTATTTGTTCTCAACATCTTTTATTCTTTATGCTCAATTAGTATTAAGTTCTAGATATTAATGTTTTTCTTGCCCGAAACGCATTGCGTAATAGTGGCTTTAGGCATTGTATGTACTAGCTCTATCTATATATCAATCCATTAATGTAACATCACTTGTATGTATATACCTTACCTGAATAAACATCTGAATCTGACTCCATCTGGGCATTTTTGGCTGTTGTCGGGTCTGCACAACTAAAGTTGTGTATACATACAAAAATATATATATATATATATATATATATATATATATATATATATATATATATATATATATATATATATATATATATATATATATATATATATATATACACATATATATACTATTACATATTTAATATACAGGTATACACCTCATTAAACACAACAGCAGTGTGACTAATGTTAATTTTCTTTTGGATATTTTCCATTCTATGCAAATACCTTCTATCATCTGGAGGGTGAAGAAACACTAGATCACTTAATAGTTCCATTTTATTGTGTATATAAATATTATATTATATATATATATATCTATATATATATATATATATATATATATATATATATATATATATAGATATATATAATACATATAATGTATATATATGTACATATATATATATAATTCAACCTTTAACATTAAATTACAGAGCAAGAACTAGGACCAAAATCTGGTTTTCTCAAAAAGCTGTTGGGAGCCTGTGGATCAGAGATCAGCAAAAACAAAGATAACTCCCACCAGAGATAAACTGCTCACTCCCATTAGCAAAGAGGGAACAGGACAGGGATGGGGAGATGGGGAGTGCACCCTCACTTAGCTTATTGTACCCAAGCATGGAGACCTGATCTTCAGAAAGACAAATGCATTGGAGAATATTCAACAATGGGCGACAAAAAATCATTCCAGAACAAAGTCAACTCTCATACCAGGAACGGCTGAGGTCCGCAGGATTAACAACACTGCAAACCATACATGATGACTGATATATCCTAAACTTCTAAAACAGCAGTACTGAACAACTTTGAGGATATTGATCCAGACTAGTACTTTAAAAGGTCAGATGTAAAACAAACAAGGAGAAATAGTTTCAAGCTCAACAAGTCACAATGAAGGACAGAATACAAGAGATGTTTTTTCATCCACAGGGTTATAAACCCATGGGAATGCCTAACCACTGAAGCTGTAAATGCCAAAACATCTTTGCATTTCAAACTCTAGTTCGATAAGATCATCAGGACAAATGGGGAGCCTTTGACAATGACCAGGAAGCTGCCAACTTTCTGTCCTCATCGAGGCCACTAGATAGTGGCCCCTCAAATAATCTCGGATACTGATTGGCTCCCTCCCTCCCTTCCAGAAGACATTTTACTATATTCAATGCAGGATTTCAAAGCTGTCGTGCCACAGAGCCTCAGTAGAGGAGGCTGGTCAATAGGTAAAAGAATAAGCTCTAGCCACATGACATACCAAGGGCAAGGCGAAGTGATAAACTCAAAAAGACTAAAGAGCTCACACTGGGAAGGAAGCACCAAAAGCTTCCAATTAACAAGCACCTGCCAGCAACCAGTAGAAACCACACAGACGGGGCACCACAGGATCAGTCTGGCTCAGCCCGTCCCAAACACAAGCAGCAAGACCTCAGTCAAATCAAATGTTTATTTAGGTAAGGTACATACATACAAGAGATTTTACAAAGAGGGATGGATTTATAGTTAGGGCTAGTACATACAATGCCTAAAGCCACTATTATGCAAAGTTTCGGGCAAGAAAAACTTAAATGACTAAAGCTTAATACTAATTGAGCATAAAGAGTGAAATGAAAACATAGCTGAAAAAGCAGCACAAATACAATTGTCGACAAACAGCGCTCTTTAAAAAAAAAACAGACATTGGTTGACAATAGAGGGGTAAGGTAGGTTACAGAGAATTTATTAGGTATAGCTTCGTTTTTATCTTAAACTGGTTGAGAGAGGTACAGTCTTTAACATGGTTGGGAAGGTCATTCCACAATCTGGGTCCCTTGATTTGTAAAGCATTTCTAGTTTGATTAAGTCATACTCTAGGAATATCAAAACTGTATTTATTTCTGGTGTGGTGCTCATGGGTTCTGTTACAACCTTCTATGAAGCTTTTGAGGTCAGGATTGGCATTACAGTTTAGCATTTTATATATGTATAATACACATGAGAGAATGTGCAGTGACTTAATGTCTAACATATTCAGAGATTTGAGTAGGGGTACCGAGTGATGTCTGGGGCCAGAGTTGGATATTGTCCTAATAGCAGCTTTGTGTTGAGTAATTAGAGGACGTAAATGATTTTGGGTAGTAGAACCCCAAGCACAAATACCATAGTTGAGATATGGATAGATGAGGGAGTAATAGAGAGTCACCAGGGCAGGGCGGGGTACATAATATCTGATCTTAGAAAGAATGCCAACAGTTTTTGAAACTTTTTTTGATATATTTAGAAGAAAATTTATATTTATTTATTTATATTTAGTCAGAAAAAACAGAATGACCTGGCCCAAAGCCCACCAGACAATACTGGGTAATGCAATTCAGACAAACATGCTAGATCAAGGCAAGCAACGCAAGCCAAAAACAGCCATGCACACAGACCACAAACAGCTGGACACAGCCCAGTTTTGGTTGATCTCTGATCCGCAAGCTTCCCTTCAACTCTTTTGAGAGAACCAGATTCCAGTACTCATTCCTGGTAAGCTCTCACGGGTTTGTGACCTGGCTACTTTCAGGTTGCAGTTTTAGTGACCTAATGTGTAGGACGTTCCAAAAATACTATACTGTAGTGCATTGTAAAACACAAATTATGTGTGAGTAACAGTATGTCTTCTTTTAAAACTTAAACATAAGGGCAGATACAGATTAACTGCCCAATAAAAAAGAAAATAATACCTACTGTCCAATATAAAAGAAAATGACACCTACAAAAATAAAAAGGTTAATGCATATAAAAGGCTACATCTGAGAAGACTAAAATGCTTCCTTTGGCAAGATACTGGTTCTAAGCGACTGCATCATGGCGGCCAGGGTTGCTGGAGGAAACGAGTGAAATGGGCCAACTTGTGATTCGTGAGAGCACTTATACTTTACTATTCTTGTGCTGCTGGAGAGAGCTTGGAAAGGCTTACAAGTGAATTTTCTCTGGCCACTTGAGACTGGGCAGAGCTTTCATACTGTCACTAGTTTGATTTCTTGTTCAAGATTGATTGATTGTTTCACATTGTAAATTAAAATATATTGCAAATTTTGTGTTAGCTTTAAGACTTCCTGAAAATGCTATGCATGTTAGTGGTTTTGCAGAAATGTACCATTCAGTCACCAAAATCTTTACTTTCACAACCCCTTACCCCCCTACCACAACCCCCCTTAGCCTGAGTTTATAATACCTTGTATTATATATATACATATAAAATAAATAAATTTCATAGTGCATCAATACAGAATTTAACCTGCCATGAACCAATCCTTTGGGACCATTATAGTGAAATAGCTACAAAATTATCCTGTTTAAAGGGCATAACACTTTTTCTATAGCTTTGTGTCTTATTTCATAGCAGGTGTGACCCAAAAATGAATTTTATCCAGACATCTGAACTGCCTTTATGAGTTAACAATTGACTGGAACATATAAAATTATTTTTACAAAATTTCTACTTTCTGGTCTGACAATACCTAGAAAATAATAATTGTTTTAAGAATTAATATGCAAGATTAAAAAAATAACAGGTACAGTTCAAATGCAGACAAAATTAATGAAAAACTATATTATATTACATATACTGTAGTGAGAGAACGTAAAGAACTGGCACAGATCACTGTAGAGTTCTGTCAGTTCTTATAGCCAAACATATCTTTAGACAAATCTAAATGTAAATTTGCTAAAAGAACAAACATTGAAGCTATGTACACAATTAAAAACAAGATCCATTACAAATATATATATAATTCAAAGATATACACCCAATTAAATATCATCAAGGTTGAAGTTCCCCATGTTGTTATGCTCGGACCAAGCCCCATGCCGTGCACCATCCATCTCACTTGCCACAGCATTATCACTCCTCAGCCTGTGTGATCCCCCTCCAATTTCTGCCCCACAATCGGGACAGTTGCTTTCAACCATTGCTCCCCCACACTCAGTGATGCAGTACACATGCCCATTTGGACATTTGTACCAATGCCCCTGCTTGAGCCCCATAGCTTTCAAGATCATTATCTTCTCGCTCTCATTAATTCCCAAGCCACCAACATATTTCTCACTCTCTTTCAAAAGAGCACGTATTTTTGTATCTAGTTCTGAATCGAATTTGATTGTAGGATCCATTAGCTTCTCCAACTTTACCTTGATTTCCTTAATCTTATCACTACTATAACTCATAAATTTTTCATTAAAAGTCCAATAGGCAGGAAGAATCATGAGACGCTCCAATTCACAGCTCACCTCATCAACCATCTGAGGAGCAATAATTGTATTTTTCTTCATAACAAGTTCAACTATTGCCTCCACCCTTGGCCGTAATCGAATTTCATGATTAGACAGCTGACGTGCTGCCTGAAATCTGGAAAGTAGTGCTTGAACAGTATCTGTGGTATTTTCTTTAGACAAAGACATCAGGATTTTGGTGGCCTTTACAAGGACTTGAGATTGAAACTGGATAAGCCTCAGTTCTCCTTCATTAACATATATTTTCCTGCGACCCTTTACTGGTGGTCCCATACTGAGTTTCTTGTGTAATTCTTTGGTCTGAGAATTGAAGTGAACAGCAACTTTTGGATCTGTGGATATAGAACGTATTATTATTATTATTATGATAGAATCTAAGTCAGTGCTGAAAGTTGGAACGATGAAATTGATTTGGAATGATGATTTATTACAATCAAACTTTTGACTTTTTACATCATAATACATTGTGTATTTTCAAATTTGTGAAAATTTCCCCAAACAGTCAATTTATATATCATCCATTACATTAGAGTCGAGCAACAAAATTAAAAATGGATAGGGCAAGCTCACTGTCAACTAAACACGGCATAATTTTACCAATATTCTTTTGTTTACCTAATATATTTTTTAGCATTAGTATTTATAAATTATTTATAATGTACAGATAAAAAGTGATATAAATCATTAATGTATAATTAATTTACTTTCTAAAACAAGAGTGTTATATATAAGACACATAAAACTGGGTACAGGTCGTGAACAGGAAGATAACACAGAAAATCAGTAATATAATTAAATTTTAGTAACAATTAAATGAATTATATTACTTATTATCTTTATTGCCTTCCTGTTGACGACCTGTACTCAGTCAGTAGAAAAGTAGATCAGCTGTTCGATAAATGAAATAGTGGCAAAATTAAAGAAAGTCAAGTACAGTAGAACCTCGAGTGACGAACGCATCAAATGGCGACCATTTTGGGTAACGAACGCCCCGATCGCCGACAATTCGTCTCGTTAGGCAACCGCGCGTTTGAATAACGTCAACACCACATTTTGGGGGGTCGGGGGCTACTTCTCGCACATTCTCGGATGCCTCCGACAATGCAAATAAATTATTTTTCTTTATTTAAAGATGTTATTGATGCTGGGATGTTGCAAAGCATTGACTTTTTGTAGAAAAACGAAATGAACTTTTTTAAAGAAAGAACAAATGTAAAAGAGGTTTGTTCGGTGTTTGTTAGGTAGGCTACTCCATGTTTCTTATAAAAAATAAAAATAAAAAATTAAGAATTTTGAAAAACAGAACAAATGGTAAAAAGGTTCGTTCGGTGTTCGGGAGGTAGGCTGCTCCATGTTTCATATAAAAAAAAAAAAAAAAAAAATATAAAAAACAGTTGAAACAATTTGAAAAACGGACAAATGCCATAAAGGTTCGTTCAGTGTTTGTCAGTTAGGCTGCTCCATTATTAAGAAATAAATGAAAAATACAAAAAAAAATGGAACACATTTGAAACAGAAAGATTGTCATAATGGAGCAGCCTACCCAACAAACACTGAATGAACCTTAATGGCATTTGTCCATTTTTCAAATTGTTTCAACTGTTTTTTAAATTTTTAGTTTTTTTTTATTTAAGAAACATGGAGCAGGCTACCTGCCGAACACCGAACGAACCCTTTTGACATTTGATGTTTTTCAAAATTCCTTTTTTTTTTCTTTTCTTTTTTCTTTTTTATAAGAAACATGGAGCAGCCTACCTGTCAAACACCGACAGAACCTTTTGCTATACAAAAAGATGAAAAAAAAAAAAAAAAAAAAAAAAAAAAAAAAAAAAAAAAAAAAAAAAAAAAGAACAAATTTGAAAAAAGAAAAAATGTCATAAAGGTTTGTTCAGTGTATGTAAGGTAGGCTGCTCCATTATTTAAAACATCGGATATCATATTGATGTTTTTCGGTGGTAGAATGGATTATTTGTATTTACATTATTTTCAATGGGGAATTTTTGTTTTGAATAATGTCGGTTTCACATGACGACGATGGCGCCGGAACGGATTAAATTAGTTATTCGAGGTACCACTGTATATGTATTATCTACTTATTATAACATTTAACACAGGAGGGAATAGTGGCACATGATACATAAGCCAACTGGAAGTTAATGCAAAAGAAATTGGTGCAACACCCAAAACTAAGCCCAGAGGAATGCCAACCAGAAAAGGGAGTGAAGACAACTGACCAAGGACCAATTCCTGCAGAAAGATGAAGGCTACTCTGGCACTCCCATTAGAAAATCTAATAAGAAAAGAACTAGGATAACATTCAGATACAAAATCTAAAATGACCCAGGGACCAAAAAACAAAAGCATGAGCTAAAAGGCAGAAAAGAAGTGCAGAGGTCCAGCTATTCAGGTGTGGTAGGCTGAGACCCAACACCCCAAGAACTAAAGCACCTGACAGGGGTATGAGGACTGATCCCAAACCCCATCCAGTCCCAGAACCCCATATGAGAATCAACAGAACGTGCTCATATGCAGTGAGAGTGGGAAACAAGTAGAATGAAGCTTGAACCATAGGTGGCGATTTCAAGCAACCACCATTCATAGCTTCAAAAGCAAATATAACAAAGGGCACATATAAATATACCAGCTATATAAATATCAACAGCTATGAGGCTGGGCTCTAGATCTGAATCTCACTCTGTATATGAACAACAAAATCAGAGGTAAATACCCTGGAAATCAAGAGACAAGTCACAAAAGTTGAGCAGAAAGGAAGCAGATGGCTGCCTCATACCAAAAGATACCTGTAGAAGATGAAAAATCCACTACCAGCGCTGGAAGTGGGTATTTCATCTTTCAAAGTAGGGATGACCTAAAACTGTGTTTTTCCAAATCCCAGTACCTCTCATGTCAGCAGAGGATCCCTTCAATAATGAAAAAAAGGGACTACACAATAGGTGGATGTGATTAACCCACAAGCAGGAGATTCCAGCAACAAATAAATTGATCACAGAACAGCAGCATGTAAACCAAGAAAGGATAAATCACAGGACAAGGACACCAGTCTCCGTGGTGTAGTGGTAAGACACTCGCCTGGCGTTCCGCGAGCGCTATGTCATGGGTTCGTATCCTGGCCGGGGAGGATTTACTGGGCGCAATTCCTTAACTGTAGCCTCTGTTTAACGCAACAGTAAAATGTGTACTTGGATGAAAAAACGATTCTTCGCGGCAGGGGATCGTATTCCAGGGACCTGCCCGAAACGCTACGCGTACTAGTGGCTGTACAAGAATGTAACAACTCTTCTCAAAAAAAAAAAAAAAAAACTTTTGGCAGAAAATAAATATACCCCAGAAGTATAAAACAACCAATGAAAAGAGTCTTACCTTGCAATAGCAATTCAATTTCCTTCCTCTTTACTTTGAGTTGAGATCTATAATATTTGTACTTGACATCTTTAACAGCTTCATATGTCTTAAGTACCACGTCCTGATAACGACGATTATTATAGATGGGTTTTCGACACTTTGGACATGTCTTCATACCAATTTCAGCAGTTTCCTGGCCCAGCCAGCCCTCCAGGCCTTGAACTTCAATAGTGTGGCCACAGTCCTCCAACAGCACAAATCTGAAATTTTGTAGTTATTGAAATTGTTATGAAATTACTTTTTAAGTCTTTGATGCCTTTTTCTCATAAGGTAAAGTACTCTTGCAAGTAAGAGTTTGTAACTTCCATGAATTTGATTTAAATATGAGAGTAATCTATTGAAGGCCAAAATCATTCGCAAATACAGGTTTAAAGTTGCACAATACTATTTAATGGAAACATATTGAATAAAATATGAGATGTCAAAAAAAATAAATACAATACAGTATGGAATACACTAAATATTGAATCAGTAAATGGACAGTAACATACCACAAAATACTTTATGATGTGCGTATAACAAAATGCTGAACAGCCCAAACTCACCTTGCATCAGCATCCTCTTCATTGCCCCATAATACAAATTCTGTAAGCTCCTCTGCATCACAAATCCGACACAATGGTGGACACGGATCACCGCAAAAGCCAACACATGGATGGCCACACTTCAGCTTTCGTGGGCAAGCCTGATCACAAGGTTTTCTTGAGCACTTCTCACCACAAAGTTTCGTACATTTCAAGTGCTTACACTTCCAATCACAATTCATCTGAGAAATAAAAACTTTAGATATAGTCAAATTTATTCTGTTAAAGAAATTAGATGCAAATGTATATATGTATGGAGTGGGATTCTGTATTTACCTGATGGGCCACCATCAGTCTAGTGGGCATGATGAAGACAGGAAGCCCATGGCATGTCAAAGGTCCCCCCATATTTCCTGATTATTTTTTCCAACTGGATTTTGGTACAGTACTGCAATAATTTCTTAGCATTTATGGCTATGGCAGGTAGGCAGTTCCATAGCTTTATAACCTTATGTAGTACTTTTATCACTTTCATCCGGCGGCGACGCAAACTGCGTCACTAAATAAACTGACAGATGTCCGATGGTGACGCATGTTGCGTCAAAATTTTAAATATTTGTTAGAATTCAATTTATTGTTCAATTATTATGGGTTTAGTTTTAAAATGTGTGCCTTTACACTGCAAACGACTTGATACCAAAAAGAATAATGTAGCATGACAATCAAGGTCAGAACACTGGAAAGATTATAAATACTTGTGTGGTGATGAGCATCCAAGTTTAAATTTTTGGTAAAATTCCATTTATTGTTCGATTATTATGGGACTAGTTTTAAAATGTGCGTCTTTAGATTGAAAACAATTTGATACCATAATGAACGACGTAGTGCAATAATTGAGGTCAGAACACTACAATGATTATAAATACTTGTGATGAGCGTACAAAATTAAAATATTTGTTAACACTACTGCCGGCGCCACACGCGCACCGCAGATTTTGACATCATGGGGCCAATGGTACGGGCAAGCATGCGGCGACGCCTAAATGTGTATACTCGTTTCAGTTTTCTCACCTTAATTCATGTGCTACGTCATTCGTTTTGGTAACATTGTGTTTGCAATTAAATTCCCTGCAGATGTATATGCATATAATGTTCAAAAGCCTGGCGAGACTCCCCACAGCAAAGCCTAAAGTCAGAAAAGTTACCCATGAGCGCACAAAATCAGTAAAATGTGTATACTCGTTTCAGTTTTCTCACCTTAATTCTCGTGCTACGTCATTCGTTTTGGTATCATTGTGTTCGCAATTAAATTCCCTGCAGATGTATATGCATATAATGTCCAAAAGTCTGGCAAGACTTCCTGCAGCAAAGCCTAAAGTTACCCATGAACGAGCACCAATTTGCACACCACAACTTAATGTGTATACTCATTCAGTTTGATAACATCAATTTTCATGCTACATCGCTCGTTTTGGTATCAAATTGTTTGCAAAATAAAGCCACGCATTTTAAAACTAGTCCCATAATAATAGAGCAATAACTGGAATTTTAACAAATATTTTAATTTTGGACGCTCATCATCAAAATTACTTATATATTTCCAGTGTTCTGACATAAAATTTCACGTTACAGCGCTCATTTTGTTATCAAATTGTTCGCAATATAAAGGTGCGCATTTTAAAACTAGTCCCATAATAATAGCACAATAAATAGAACTTTAACAAATATTTTAAAATTTAGAATTTAGACCCAAATTTGTATTTATAATTTTTCAAGTGTTCTGACATCAAGTTTCATGTTACATCTTTCATTTCGGTATCAAATTGTGCGCATTCTAAAGGCGCTTATTTTGAAACTATTCCAAGCTCAGTCGGATAAAAATTAATTTTATACAAATATTTTTGTAGTGGATACAAGTCCAGTCAACGGCTAGGACTCGAGAGAAAAAAAATGGACGCGAGTCACGTCCAAAGAGAACGATAGTGTTAAAATTACATTTACTGTTTGATTATTATGGGACTAGTTTTAAAATGTGTGCCTTTAGATTGCAAACAATATGATCCAAAATGAACAACATAACTCCTAAATTAAGGTCAGAACAATGGAAAGAGTACAAATGTTAGTGTGGATGTGCGCTCCTGGGGAAAAACTGGGCCCACCTTGGGGTGGGTTGGGGTGCACATGCCGGGTGCGCAAAAGTGTTAAATAGCTGTGCAGTTTAAGAGTTAAACAGCACATTTCTGCCACAGAGTATTTAGTAACCAATAATTTAAATTGCATGCACTATTATTATTTAATATGCACTAATGGCATTCTCCAAATCTCTTTAGCAACAGCAGCACAATTTAGCTCCATCCTCACAACCGCAAACATTTCCCTACACTCTCACATATGGCCCACTTAACCCTCACCTACTAAAGTAGTTACAATTGCTAAGTATCTTCTTGGTTTATCAATGTCAAATGTTTATAGTGGTCTGTACTAGTCAATATTACTCTAGCATTATCTGTCACTATCACTTTGCTTCATCCATGGTTATAAAGTGAGTCGGTGAGATGTGTCCGGTTCCCAGTCAAAATGTTTGTGTTACTGTAACACCGCAATTATCCGGGATTCAAACATCCGGAAAACGCCCTTATACGGCCAATATCGTGATCGGATAAAGTTATCACAATATCCGGCCAAAATGGCCACAGGAACCGGATAAAAGCTGGTTTGGCCGGATGAATATTCGGCCACACCGTATTAATCCCGTCTGTGGCTCTAGACGCATGGTGGAGGAAGGGGTGGGGTGGGTGGGTGGTGTCGGGAGAGGGGGAGGGGTGCGTCGGAAGGGACCACCTAGGTACAGGAATTACCATTAATTTTAGAACACTTAATCATAGCCAAAAACAAATGAAATAAGTACTAGTAATTATGTAATAACAAATAAATAAGTTTCCTAAAATTAATGTGCACAGGCTGAAGTTTCCTTCAAAAATATTGAGAGTTTTTTTCCTCCTGGCGGCCTACGTAACGCGCTATAGCTGCCCCACCCCAAGTGGACCTGTCCAACACTGGTCAACCCATGTGCATCCGTCCCTCGTGTTATACACAGTGCTGCGCCATTAGTGAAATATTTTTTTAAATAACTTTTTTATTTTCATAGTAACTTTGAACATTTTTGGCCAAGATTATGTCTGGTAGCAGCATCAATCGTTCTAGAGGTGTTAAGAGGAAGAAGGTTGTCCTAGCAATTAAAGACAAGTTATGTTGTTCAACCAGTGAGGCGTCACAGGCAGCCAAATGCCTTCAACAAGTGAGGCGCCACAGGCAAGCCAAGCGCCTTTAACAAGTGATGCGCAAGCAAGCAAGCGCCTTTAACAAGTGATGCGCAAGTAGGCAAGCGCCTTCAACAAGTGAGGCATCACAAGCAAGCCAAATGCCTTCAACAAGTGAGGCTTCACAGGCAAGCCAAGCGCCTTCAACAAGTGAGGCGCAAGCCAAGCGCCTTCAACAAGTGAGGCGCAAGCCAAGCACCTTCAACAAGTGAGGCGCAAGCCAGGCGCCTTCAACAAGTGAGGCGTCACAGGCAAGCCAAGCGCCTTCAACAAATGAGGGCATGCAAGCGCTTCAACAAGTGAGGCACATGCAAGCGCCTTCAACAAGCGAGGCCTCACAGGCAACCCAAATGCCTTCAACCAGTGAGGCTTCAGCAGCTGGCAGTCAAAACTAACTTTGCTTAATGAACTGTACAGTAATTTTAAGTGTTAATTTTAGTGTTGTGTTAGTATAAGTTACGTAAATTGTTAAGAATTCTTAACTTCAAGATGTGTGGCATCAATCAAGAAGAAGAACACCAACAAGGTAAGTTGAGGTTTCTAGTTGAATATTTAATAATTATATGTGGCAAGGCAATTCAAATTATGTTGTTTGTAGTATAAATGTAGTTGGAAATTGTCACTTTTGGACTCGTAGGTGAAAAAGTACCATTATCCGAAAAATGTGATAATCCGGCTGGGGGTCCTTCCCATATAGTCCGGATGATCGAGTGGAGACAGTACTTGCCGGGTTGACGGCAACGTAACTACACTCATCACCATCCTCACACCCACTTACTGCCACCTGTCAACACTATTACCCACCCAAAAATCACACTATTACAAGGTGGTTAGTACAGTTGATTCATAACTGAAAGGTCCCAGGTTCAATATCTCAAACAATGTCTTTGACATTATGTCCTAATGTTATATGGCACTGGCTTTGGTATTATGGCCTATGGTGATACTGCACAGGCAGTATCCAGGCAGTATCAATATTATCCCACTTGATATTATGAAGTGGGGTGATATTGAAAAAGAATTCAATGTGTAGATAATGTAAAATTAAGCAGACAACAAAATAGTGTTTCAATGTGAAATAAAAATGTGAAATAAATCCATTAATTTTACTGATGTACGCTTCTATGAACAAACAATGTCAGTCGGTTCACGAACAAAACTTTCAATTTCAACAAATAATTACATGCTGATTAATGCAAAGTAGCTACTTTTCTCACCTTACATACTGTGCAGGGAATGCCACATATCTTCCGGCAACGACTGTGTGTACAGCGCCACTGGCATTCTTCCTGGCATGGGGGACACTCTGCACTGCAAGGATGCTTGCATCTGCAAGTAACATATTGTGTTTGTAAAGCAATAGCATGGATTCAAAATAATTAAAAAGATCTGAATGTACAGTGGTACCTCAAATAATGATCGTCTCAAATGGCGAAGATTTTGGGTAACGTTAGTTTAGTTCATTTATTATGCATATCATCAGCATAGCTAATGATGTGGACGTTGGGTTTGCTCAGTATAGAGTTTAACAGCGTGTTTATTAAGATATTAAATAAGGTAGGACTGAGGACACCACCCTGCAGGGTACCTCGTTCAAAGTCTCTTGTTAAAGGGAGGGATTCCTTTGAAAGTGCCTAGTGATTTTACTAATAGACACAAAGTTGTACTGGTGGTCTACTTCCCTGTAGTTATTGGACTTGACTCTTTTTTTTTTTTTCCTGTGCATGGCAGCAGTAACTGTTTGACCAACAGCGAGTCAATGTAGGTGTCTACCAAGGTGTCTACAGGTATAAGACTATGCCACCTGTCTGCCAATCCTCTTTGGACATAGTTTGATTCTATTTGGTTGACCAACGTGGATAGCAGAACTATGGGACATTAAAAAACTGGATTTTCTCTCTGCTGGACACTTGGCAGAGATGAGACTGCCTAATGGTGTATTAGACCCTGTCATGCCTTGTTTGCCATCTGTTGTGTTTTATATAGAGCAAACCATGCAACTTCTATTCATCTGCCTAGCCACAAATGAACTTACAGCATGGATATGGGTTGGAAAGCAGAGAGCCACTGCAATATGTAGGTGCTACAAGACCTGCTGTACATATGGGGACTGCAAAAAGGAAATTCCTTGCATAGGAACTACTAACTCATAATAGTAATTAATTATCACACGTCTCTTTGCCTACACATACAGTTATAAGACAAAGAATTGAAAATACTTACATGTGTCCGCACACAAGTGGTTTTTTACACGGCTGCTGACACGAGACATGAATCCGTCCCTGAAAGCAGAGCCCACAATTGCCTAAACAATTATGCTCACATTTCAGGACCTGACCGCATGGTTCTTTACAATATTCCCATGCATCCTCTCCATTCACTGAAAGTTAAAAAACATTGTAGTTATACTAAATATATATAAAATGAAAACACAATAACCTACATCTACAATAGGCATCTGAGGCACATTATGATAAGGTCATTAAGTTACCTAGAGATGAAAGTGATTATGTCTTCATTACAAACACTATTTTGTTGTCTGCTTAATTTTACATTATCTACACATTGAATTCTTTTACCTTGCTAGCAGTCAGAGAAACCTTTCTATATACAAAGGATTTGCAAACACTCATGGATACTTTTCATGTACAATACAGCAATTACATACCTTTGCCATTTAAATGACAAGGAAGCTTGATAAAATGGCCTTTAGGGCACTTGGTGGTCGAGGTAACAAGCTCGGTGCATTTGGTAGTACACACATCCATACAGCGTTGTCTACAGGGATGCCCACATGGTAATGTTTTGGGACACTTTCCCGGACACTTGCTAGCTGTTGCTGGTAATCCACATTCCATCTGAAAAATTAATAAGTACTGTATTTTATGACATGTTAAAATCAGTTAGAACAATACTGTTAATGCCACTATCAAACTTATCACAAGTCTAAATAAACCTTTTAGATTTTGCTTTCTCATATCTAAACTTGATTGACGATGCTCTATTGAAGGGATTACAAGCAACCTAACTCTGAAGAAAATTAAGGCATCAGTATAATAAACTACGGCTTTCAGAGTTGTCACTTGGTCACTCCTTAAGATAACATAGCATCCTGATGCCCTATACAGTACAGATTTTTGTTGAACACCTTCAAAATGAATCCTTTGGCAGTTAAGCAACACTTCCCAACAAAGTTTAATAAGTTATATTATTTATAAGTTTATGTATGATACCTAATATTATTATGAGAACTCAACTGGTAACAGAAAGCAGTCGTGGATGACATGCATATTTAATAACACTTATCAGCACTGAATGGTTGTCTCACGACCACACTTTCACGACCCTTCAACACCCTGTTAACATATTCTCAAAATTCAGCCTTGAATTAGTATGTCTTTCAAAATATAGCTTTCCTTTATAACTTAAGACCCCTCTATCAAAACTTCTACACTTCATTTACTACTTAAACATTGCTTTTCTTATTATAAGTTTATTTTATTGATATATATATTAAAAAGGCTATCAGAGCTGGATTTCCCTGCTTAATAGTGTGAAGGTTGAGCCTATAAGTATGGTTTCCAATTGCCAGGAACAGGAAGCCGGTGAATAGGCTTATCAAGGTCAACTAGACACTGGCTGACTTTCCCCTAGAATGAAGCCCATGACAGTCTACTAACTCCCAGGTACCTAATTACTAGGTAAACAGAGTCATTAGGTATAAAAAAAACACATGCCCAAACCATGAATAACGAGCAGGAATCAAACTGGGACTAGTCAGTTGGGAGCAGACTGTTTAGATCAATAATTTCCCATATTTGTCTGTTATTAGTCGTTAAGGACAATTAGAACAATAAAAGTTACTTATCCTGCACTGTCATTTACTTGATATTTAGCTTATTTTTATATGGAAGCTTTGCCATTTTGTAAACATAATGCTTTAGTATAATCTAAGCAGCATGTGCACAAACTGACAACTGGCTTATTTGACACAATGTAAAAAAGTCTGCTGTTTTGGATATCTTGCTCCTTAAAGAACACTATACCAAAGAATAATCCAATGAAATTGAAAAAGAATTGACTTACCTGAGTAACATGATTGCAACCTGGTACAGTCTTCTTCACTTTCTGTGCACAGTCACCACATTTTTGGAAACAAAGTTTCTTACATGGATGGCCACAAGGCAGCATTTTTGTACAGGGTTTACGACAAATGATATCTTCCTCCAGTTCAGAGCAGTCAACTTTAACTGCCACATGCCCACATTGTAGAGTTTTGTTTAATTTTACTGTGCAAGCTCCACATTCTTCATGGCATTTCTTTTGGCATGGATGGTTTTGTGAACAACCTGCATTCAATTTTGTACACTTTTCTAAGCAATTATATAAATCGTGGTCCGGATCCTTTCTCCGGTGACACTTGAATCTACATTTGTGACCACAATCCAGTCTAGTGTCACAGTCCATGGTACAAGCAAAAGTATTTGCATCACAATGGCAAGGCATGGTGACCTTATGCTGACAGAGAGGTATTTGTCTTATTACTCGAGTTGGACATGCATGTTTCTTTGGGTCAACATGGCATGGAATGTTATGACTATGGGCACAAGGTAACACTTTTGTGACCAAAACAATACATGGTGTGCATATTTCCCAACATTTCTTTGGACACTGATGGTCCAATTCACACAGAATCTTAGGACAAGGCGAACGGCATTTAAACTGTTTGTGCTCTCGATCATCCATGTGACAAATTTTGGGACAGGAATGCTTACAATTTGGAAGGGAACTGCCACATATTAGGCGACATCCACCCTCTGGGCTTTTCTTGAAGAAGTCATCACCTGATGATATCGATATTAGTTGATCAGGATGATTTGTACATTTAAGAGTCAAGGAATTGCCAATAGAGTTGTCTGCTGAAAGGTCTTCTTTGATCTTCTTCCACAGCTCACTGGAGGAACTCAGCAGATCCATATTTCCAGTAATGTATAAGCCATGCTTGGCACGTGAGAGGGCAACACACACCCTGTTATCAGTGCGAAGGAAGCCCACTTTCCCTTCAACATTACTTCGTACTAAGGACAACAAAATAATATTGTTCTCTTCTCCCTGGAAGTTGTCCACCACACACATTCTCACACCCGAACATGCCTGGTGGTTTCGCTGAAGCTGTTGATAAATAGCAATTTTAGCAACTCATTTATTTATGCAAAGTAATGCCTGAAAAGACACTTTATTGGTAGCTAATATAAACTACATGATGTACCTACAAATACTTCATGATAACAAGTTTCAAATAATTAAAATGTATTTTAGATAAATAAAAATTATTATTATTATTATTGAGAAAATCCACTGGGACTATAAAAAGGGTGCAAACCTACAACACCAGCATTGCCAGTTGTGTACTCTAGCACTAGACCACCGATGACTTGTGTGACGGTAACGCGTTGGTGTTCGGCTGTTCAAGGCTAGGGGTATGGCCTCGTCACATAGTTATAAAAAAAAATAGAAAACTGGAACTTCGTCTGTGGTAAGGTAAGGAGAAGACACACAAAACACAAGTAAACTTTAACAATGAAATTTTAATTACGTTAAATAAATCAAAACATGAAAATAATGCACAAACAAATTCTTATAATAAAATCAATGAATCAAAATAATAAGAATACTTAAATGACACAATGAAAGTTACGTTAAGGCAAAATAACAAGAAGTGCAACACAAAAGTTAAGTGGGAGGTGCTGGAATATTGGCTTAAAGCCACCACCTCTCTCAGTACACGCTAACGTCTAGCTGGGAGGAGTGCTGGCTACGAAAGCACGGAACATTCTGAAGACTGATGTTGGGGCGACCCCAGACATCAGGTAGTATTGGGGGCGAGTGCAGGTGCAGCCAGACCGGCGACCAATCAGCGGAGCCGTAGCGATCAACGGGTAGTTTGGTGGTTGGAGTTCGAACAGGTGGCTGGATGCATACGTTTCTGCTCACCCTGGCAAGCCTTGCTGGTGCTGGTGTTGTTGTCGTTGTTGGACATTTCTTCCATAGTCTTTTTATATAATTGTGAAGACGTAATTTTGGAGGGAAGAGCAGGCTCAATCTCTTGAAGGAGATTATCGTCACAACTCTCCCCCGAAGCCTGCGGTTCTGGAAGAAGTACGTCGTTATGTGGTGGAGTAATGGATGGAGTCGCTTCTACTTCATAAACTCTGGAGAGATCATGGGCTAAGATGTTGTCAGACTCTTGGTATAGCGTGTCTCCAGGTTGAATTCTTGTAAATACAGAGCCCATCGTAGAAGACGCTGGTTGGTGAATTGGGCTTGATGTAGGAAGCGGAGAGGGTTGTGGTCTGAGAAGATGGTGGTAGACCTGGCGCCTTGTAGGTACGGAGCGAAGTGTTGGAGGTTCAGGACGATGGATAGTAGCTCCTTTTCAATAGTGCTGTAGTTCCTCTGGTGTGGTTTCAGTTTGTAGCTGTAGTAGCTGACAGGTAGAACCTCCTCGCCTCGTAGTTGCATCAGGACACCACCAACGCCGGTACCACTGGCGTCGACATGAAGGACGAAAGGCTTGGTGATATCTGGAGAGGCGAGAATGGGGTTAGAACAGAGGAGGAATTTGAGTTGTTCGAAAGCAACGGTTTGCTGCATGGTCCAATTATACCGTTGCTTGGGACTGGTTAATAGAATTAGAGGTGTGGCGACTGTACTGAAATTCCTCACAAACCTACGGTAGTAAGAGGCAAGACCAAGGAAGCGCAGGAGCTGCTTCCTGGTGGTAGGCTGTGGATACTGTAGGATGGCTTGCGTGTGTGAGTCTAACGGAGCTATGCTGCCACTCCCAATAACATGACCCAGATAACGCACTTTACCTTTCGCGAAAGTGGACTTGCCCAGGTTGATGGTGAGGCCGGCTGTCAGGAGCTTGGAGAACAGACGTCGCAGCTGGAGCAGATGTTCACTCCAGGAGTTGGAGGCTACGACGATATCGTCCAGGTAGGCGTATGTGTTATCCAAGCCCTGGATGACACGGTTGACAGCTCTTTGAAAGGTGGCCGGGGCATTACATAGTCCGAAAGGAAGGCGTTCATATCTGAAAAGTCCAAAAGGAGTGATGAAGGCAGATATCTCTTTAGCGCGCTCCGTTAGACACACTTGATAGTACCCCTTAAGCAAGTCCACTTGGGACAAGTACTGGGCACTACCAATGGCATCAAGGATGTCATCTATCCTTGGCAAGGGGTAAGCATCCTTGACAGTGACAGAGTTCAGTTTACGATAGTCGGTGCACAACCGCACCTTACCTTGGGGTTTGGGCACCAAGATACAGGGTGAGGCCCAGGGGGACTCACAAGGTGTAGCCAGTCCATGATCCAAGAGGTATTGCACCTCAGCACGCATGACTTCCTTCTTGCTCGGGCTGATTCGGTAGAAGGGTTGACGAATCGGCCGGGTGTCGGGGAGCAGTTGGATGTCGTGCTGGGTAACATTACACTCTTGGGGATCATCTCTGAACAACTCTTGATGTTCTCTGAAGATCTTGACGAGAGGTGCACTATGATTATCCTGAAAGTATTTGGGAAGATCATTAAGGATTTCGGAATTAGAAAGCGCTGACTCCTTGTCAGTGCTTTCGGGAGGAGAAGCTGGGAAGGTCTCACTGTGGATGTAGGGTTCTGTGAATGTGGAATAATTAGTCAAGACAGTGGGAGGAGTACCATTATATTGCTTCAGGAGGTTGACGTGGCACAGCTGGGTCTTCCGCCGCCTATCAGGAGTCTCTATCACATAATTATTATTATTCCTGCACTCTTTGACGCAGTAGGGTCCTGAAAATCTGTTTTGTAAAGGTGAACCGGGGATAGGGAAATAAGCAAGGACGAAGTCTCCCGGCTTGAATTTTCTTACTTTGCTGGTCTGGTCGTAATGAGTCTTCATTCTCACCTGGGCTTTCAATAGATTATCATGAGCAAAGCGGTGGACTCTCTCTAGAATGTGTTGAAGGTTTTGAAGAAACTGGGGCACATTCTGATGCTCACTGAAGGTGGCATCTCTGAGAGAGTCTTTGAAAGCCTTAAGGGGAGTACGGCACTTACGGCCGTAGAGCATCTCATAAGGAGATACTCCTAGGGACTCATTGGGGAGACTTCTGAAAATACACATTATTAGGTCAATCTGCTTATCCCAATCCTTTGAGGTTTCACTACAAAACTTTTTCAAGAGTGCTTTGATGGTCTGATGACTACGTTCAAGAGAACCCTGTGAAGCAGGATGATAGGGGCTGGACAATACCTGTTTGATGTTGAACTCCTCCAGTGTCCTTTTGAAGAGATCACTGGTGAAGTTGGTGCCACAGTCACTTTGAATCTCCCTGGGAAATCCGTATTGAGTGAAGATCTTCAGTAGATGTTTGATAACCGTAGCAGCCGTGATGTTCTTCACTGGAACTGCTATGGGAAATCTGGTGGTAGGACACAGGATGGTTAGGATGTAGGCGTTACCTGAACTGGTCCGAGGTAAAGGACCAACACAGTCTATTATGAGTCTGTGGAAAGGTTCCGCAGGCACCTGTATGGGAATCAGTGGTGCTCTGGGAATGGAGACGTTCGGTTTGCCTGCCATCTGACATGTATGACACTGTTTTACGTACTGTTTGACGTTGTTTACCATACCTGGCCAGTAGTAGTCTTGACGAATCCCATGGTAAGTCTTGTTGAAGCCGTAGTGGGAGAATGCTCCATGGGCCAGGTGTAGAATAGTGGGCCGCAGGCTGGTGGGAATCACAAGTTGTTCGGTGTTGGCCCAATCGTCCTCCTCCTTCAGTTTACTGGGTCTATATCTGCGGTAGAGCAAGTCGTTCTCTAGGAAGAACCCAGGAATACTGTCGGGTTGAGTCTCAGCCTGGAAAAACAATGGTGTTAAAGTAAGATCTTCCCTCTGCAACTTACGGAACTCCAACTTGGTCAGATGCGGGGGTAGTTTCTGAGGGTCTTGAGGGACAGCGGTAGCAGTAGAGTCAGCTGGCTGTGGACGTGCGGCTTGTGCACGGGTGGTCACGAGAACCGGAGGAGAAACTTTATCACTCTCTTGAACCTCTGCTGGAACATACTCGAGAATAGGATTACTTGGCACAGAGTTACACACCTGGGGTTTGTCCATGACGATCAGGTTGGTCGGTTGCAGGTCTTCTGCCAAGTCGTTGCCTAGGAGAAGTTGCACTCCAGGCATGGGAAAAGGCTTTTCCCTGACGGCGACTTGGACTTCCCCGTTCACGTAGGGACAATCCAGGTGGACTCTGGCGAGAGGGTATGGAGTGGTAGCAGTGAGGTCAGTGATGAAGACTGTTTCCCCGGTGTAGACTATGTTGGGCACAGCCGACTTCAAGATGATCGATTGTAGAGCCGCTGTGTCCCTCAAGATCTTCAATTTGAAACGTCCCTCCGGATTTGAACCGTTGGCAGAGACAGTTCCAGTATACAGGTGGTTACTGAAAAGAGAAAGATCATTAACATCAACACCAACATTCATCACAGGCTTACCGGACTTAGGAGGAGTTGGTTTGGGTCGTTGTTGGTCAGTGGTTCCCTTGTATTGAGACTTACCACACTTGTCTATGGTATGTCCATAGAGTCTACAATATTTGCAGTACAGTTGTGAACCAGCTTGATCGGGGCTCACCTTCTCGTAACTGTACCACGACTTCTTACTGGAGGATGGTTCAGGTGTCAGCCGGTGGATGAGGCTGTAAGTGTCAGCCGACTTAGCACACTTCAGGTAGTCGGTTTCTTCTTTATCTGCTAAGTAGAGGCGGACAGGAGGCGGCACACGTCTCAAGAATTCTTCAACAAGCATCAGGTTGACGAGTTCTGTAAAAGTAGAGACATGTGCTGCTTCCAGCCATTTCATGAAATACCTCCGTTTCGTGTTAGCAAACTCGAGGAAGGTAGTGGTACTTGCCTTCAGGTGGTCACGGAATTTCCTTCTATAACTTTCTGTGGAAAGTAGGTAGGCGTCCAACACTGCTTGTTTCAGAGTGTAGTAGTCATTCTCAGACGCCAAAGTACTGAGTGTGACTGCAGCTCTACCTGTAAGATGGACTCTGAGAAGTGTGGCCCATTGGTCGACAGGCCAACTGAGTTGATTAGCAAGGGTTTCAAAGGTGGTAAAGAACACATCAACTTCTGCTTCTACAAAGGATGGCATTAACTTACTTGCATGTGATATATTAAAACTGACGGGAAGATTGGCAGTAGCTTGTTGGCGTTGAGTGAAGTGTGAAGTTTCCAAGGCGATTTCACGTTGACGACACTCTAGAGCCAGAGTCGCTTGTTGCTTGTCATGTTCGCGTTGTATTTCCAACTCGCGTTGTTTGGTTTCAAGCTGTAAGCGTTCCCGCTCCTGGAGTGTTTCAAGCTGTACTCGTTCACGTTCACGGAGTAATGTAATCTCACGTTCTTGTTCTTCTCTCCTCAAAGCAGCTTCGCGTTCTTGTTCTTCTCTCCGTATGGCAGCTGCTCGTTCTTGTTGTTCGAGGGCTTCCCTTTGCTGCTCACGTTCAATCTTGGCCAGCTCTAGTTTGAGTTTCAGCGTTGCCAAATCAGTTTTATCTGCAATATAGTAAGTTTCATGAGTTTCAGAGTCTATCTTACCTTGCTCTAAATAGTAATCCAGCAACAGGTTGTGTAGGTCATTTTTGTTGGCTTGGTAGGGAACTTCTAGTTGATACTCATGTGCAAGAGTTTGTAGTTCAGTCCTCTTGGCACGACTTAAAGTCCCTATTTCACCTGCTGGATTTGCACGGAAAGTTTGGAGACGAAACATGGTGAAATTAGCAAATAAAGGTACACGAATGTTCAATAATGAAATGTCAGAAACAGGACAACGTGGCAACTGGTACCTATCCTGTGTGATCTTTAACAATTAACGTTAAGTGAAAGATATTAAATGATTACATTAAATCAAGGGCGCAGGAAATCTTGTACCCGGTACTCATGTAAGAGGATAAGGGCAAGAAAATCCTACTAACAAATGAAACAAAGTTTCGAAAACAAATGAAACAGTTAAATGCTTCAAAAGTAAAATTGGTAGTCCAAGGATGTAGGCATACCTTGCCAAGTCTCTATAGGACATAAAGCAAGTTTTTCCTACTGAATTTAATATGATACTTACAGAATTAGCGAACTTTTGTGCTCTGAAAAAATCATACAACCAAAATCATACAAAATACAAAATCATAAAAGTCATACAACCGGATTATTACTGAAATCACAGGAAGTCTGGAACCCCTAATAACGCCAGTCCAAGTTTTTATGTATGACCCACAAGCACTCGAGTGGAAGGGTAAATTGGTCACACCTTACGTCCAAACTTCAGAAACACACATCTGAAGTGTGTTATCTGGAGCCACACAGATAACCATAGCAGGCAAAAAACAAAACACAAAATCTCTAGATAGTACAACCAGCAAGGAAGCCAGGTGCAGAACAGGAGAAAATTTAAACTCTAAACAGGCAACTGCAGTTAAACATGGACCACAGACCACCTACATGATGACCACAGGATGGAAACAGCACCCACAGAATGTGAACGGTGAGCAAGACAGGCAGAGGACAGGCAAGACAATGTGACCTAAATTACAGTACAAGAGCAGAAACCTTCCAGTACTAGTAGGAATCAAGAATACCTATGACAGTTGTCATACAGGAAAGGCCACATACTCATAGATCATCCAATAAAAGCAGCAGACTTTCACTCTATACCACTGCTAAGCTGAAGCTCAGCTATGGGAACCTCTCGGAGTGTGCACCAGCTGTCGAAGTAAAGCTGACCAAATGTAAACCTTGTCAGAACTATTCCTATACCATCCATTACTGGATAGTTGAAGGCAAACAAATCCAATAATGTAAAGACAACTTGATCACAAAGGGTAAAAAATGGGAAATTACCCAGGATGACATTTCACCCAAAATCCTAGCAAAGGATCCCAAGATTGTCTATGGCAGACAGAACATTTACCATCTAAAAAGTAGCACTGCCTGCAAGTCTCCGGATCCCATAACCATGTACCAGAAGATTAGCAACAGTACTGTAAATACTGCAGATCGCTACTTATGGAACCTGATCACAAAGTGGAGACTAAGTAAAACTGTAACTAGGACCCCATAAATGTAAATGAAGCAAAACTAACATGAACTGAGACAAGACAGGATGTACATGGGAACAAAATCTTCAACTAGGTCAGCAATGCTGGAACTTCTTTTGCAAAATAAATATTGGGGTGCTGTTCTAGAGCATTTAATGTAACTACCATAAATAACTAATGAAACTAAAGGAAATTACAAAAACCATCTGCACGACTGACAAAAAGGCTTGTGCAAAGGGAGAACTAGAATGAGCAAGAGATACCTGAAACATTACCTATTAACCCAAAAAGAAAGAGCATCGCCCTCCCACATCACTGATATATCAAAGCTCAACACAAGATCAGAATAAAGCCAACATATCAAACCACTAGTAATGGGAGCCAGGTAAGTTGAACAGAACAGAAGAGCAGAGTACAACAGCTGATGCTCAAAGCAGCTGCCAAAAGAATACCAACAGGAAGAATCCAAATACATACAACGTCCAACACCAGGAAACGATTTTCGGAACAAAAATGGAATAAGCTGCCAACTATAGCCAATATAAAGAATGAAATGCCTGTGATGCAAGGGCAGTAGCCAAGCCGCTACGGTTAACCCTTAAACTGAGCATGGCGTATATATACGCCCTGAGTAACATGTCCCATGGTGCGCATGGCGTATATATACGCCATAGGGTGCCAGGCCTGATTCAAATGGCCCGCAGCTACACGAGGTTCACAGTAGCTTCCTCAGGGCTCTTGTAAACAGATGCCATTTAAAAAAAAATCATGGGCAATATTCTCAGGTGTGAGAGGCACCTCACCTGTTGGAACAACCAAGGCCAGCGCACGCAGCATGAGCGAACAGCATTGCTGTTCAGCTTGTGACCACAGCATCCCCAAAAAATGTCAAAATAAATATATAATTGTTAATATTTAGCGATGACAATATTACAGATGACCCATGACTGTGATATAAATAACCAGGGTTGTGATAATAGCAGGATTGTTGTAATAATCAGCGCTGTGGGAGGAGTGATGCTGAGAGATGGAGGGAGACAGCATCGTTTACTGACTGTGTGGCTAGCTGTTATTGTTTGCATTCACCATACCAGGTCAGTGGTTCTCTATGGTGAACACAAATGTAGATACTTAAATATAATGTGTGTATTAGTGTAATAACAGCAAAAGGATTATGCTGGGAGGAGCCATATGGGTGACGGAGGTGACGTCGTCTGCACGATTTGTCTAGCTGTTTAGAGGGTGGCCACTATGCTCTTTGGGTACACTACAAGCTTAGGTGTACAGTTACAGTGCATAAAACATGTAGATATTTATATATAATATGTGTATATAGGGTAATAACACTGCAATCAGTATTGTTGGGGTAGAAAGTTTAGTGCGTGTGACCTTGAAAGAGTGAGGGAGCCGCCAGCCGCCATCTGTGTATAGCGACGACTCTTAGTGCCTGAACTAACTATATCAGCTTAGCTGTACAGTTGTGGTGAACAAAATATATACATACTTATATATAACGTCTGTATATAGTGTAATAACACCACAAATGGTATTTTTGGGGAAGAAAGTTTAGTGCGTGTGTTGAGAGAGTGGCAGCGAGTGGCTGGCTGGTGTGTGGTAGTAACTCTTCGTTGCTTTTCGACTCTCAATACCAACTTAGTGGTTCGTTATGGTGACCAAAACATGCAGATACTTATATATAACCTGTGTATAGAGTGTAATAGCAGCAAAACTATATGTTTATTGTTTTATAAACATAATAATTGAATCACTAATATGCACATCATACTTTTGAGTATAGCGATTATTCACCACTTTTATTATATAAATCTATTACAATACACACTATTGAATAATATTACTGCAAAAAAACTAAGAAAAAATCAATCGGAGACATTGAAACAATTAGGTAATAATATCTTTGTGGCAACTCCCATCTGTCAGCGCGGGTGACGCTGACCGGGTCTGACGACCGCTATGTCAACTGCGCCCAAAATATGTCACCTACGATTTTTTTTTTATTTTTTCCGTGCTCAAGGGGACACAAATTAACATGTTTAGAAGACGAAAAAAAAATTTTGAATTTTTTTTTTTCTTGCACACAGGGGTGTAAATGTCCCCAGGACCCCTGAGCAGTGTAAAGGTTAAAGAAATGATGACAGAAGCTCCCCTACCCCTCAGGCCAGAAACTACAGATCAATCAAGTTGAAATGCACCCAAGAGCCCAACCCCGACATCCCCTCATTACCCGGAGTCTCACAAAAATAAGATGATCCCAGAAAACAGCTGAGAGTTCTGAATGCTGAAGAACCATTATTATTATTATTAAGCCTTACTCAAGTGAATCAATTAATCTTTTATATTTTTGGTGTCCGAATGATCTCACTGTTGCATCAAGCACTGGGATGCAAAAGTTTACATAGCCATATTTAAAATGTCCTCCAAAAATTTACCATCAACGATTATGAAACTCACTGGCAAGATAGCCAATTTATCTAACTATCATTTGACACAATTTAAATCAAATTTGCCTTACAAAATCATATTTTTTTCAATATTTTCCCCATTATCCCCACTCTTCCTTACCTATCTTCGCAATATCAATGGAGAACATCATACATCTTATCACCCGAGTGGAAAAAAAGTATTGTATTTTCTGACAGATAGGATGCAGTGCTATAATATTACATTGAAGCGAGACGTCGTAGCTAAAGCAAAAGCTAACACAAAAGAACATAGTAATAGGGTACCTGCACTTCAAAATCATATTTAATAAATATATAATGAAACATCATACAAAATAAAATAAAAAGAAATATGTCGGAAAATATAAGTGTGTCTTAGGCAGAAGTGAGTCCTATATGCTGAAAAATGTAGCACTTATTTTCCTTCCTCAACTGGTTTACATTTATGCATATTTAACCTTAAAAAGAATTAACATCCACCAGGGCAATAAGTGGCCACCCACCTTCCGTAGTAGGAAGAATTGTCCAGAGTAAGGAGTGAGAATAGTAATTTCTTCTGAAGAATATCCTTGTAAAATAAGATGTCTACATAAGCCAATGAGAAATTCTGCCTCATACTGATTTTCATGGCTGTTATTGTCATCAGAATCCTGTGAAAAGAAAATATATAAATGCATCATTATGTAATCAGGACAAGAAGACTTAAACATGAATAAAGCCCGAAACGATAAGTAGTGGCATTAGGCATAGTATGTACCAGCTCTATCTAGAAATCCAACATTCTGTTTGTAACTTATCTTATATGTATGTACTTTTACCTGAATAAACATTTATTATTTATTTATTAGTAATTTTATTTATGCCACCACAAAATAACTACGAAAATTTAAGATACAATTCAACATATAAATTAATATTCAACATGGCTTGGAAAGAAAAAATATTAAAATGTGCATGAAATAAATCTGTGACATACATCTGCTAAACTAAGTACAAGTGAAGGTGAATGCAAAACGAATGACCTTGATATCAATCCACGGTATGTTCAGAGAGGCTGGTGTGGAAGGTGACCTGGAAAATGTATGGGAATGGTTCAAGTCTAATGATCATGATGCAAATTAGGGAACCATGGCAAGTAACAAAAATATTAATAATAATGAACAAATCCACACGGGCCGTGATGAGAGTTCGAACTTATGCCCTGGATGTTCCCAGACATGCTCTAACAACTATACCACGACGTAGTATAAAAGCGCATTTGGGATCATCCAGCACATAGATTCAAACCCTCATCAAGATCCTTGTGGATTTGTTCATTTGATATATCACGTTATTGTGATTTCTGTGTAATAATAATAATAATGTTTATTCAGGTAAAGGTACACACATACAAAATGAGTTACAAACTGAATTTGTAGATAGAGCAAGAATACACTATGCCTAAAGCCACTAATATGCATAGCATTTTGGTCAAGAAGAGGGAAAAACACTTAAAAACTAAGACTTAAAAATAATTGAAATCAAAGGCATGATTTAAACTGAAATAAGGAAGAAAAATGTTGGATAGAACAGCAGAAATTGCAACAGAACAGCAGAAGCAGTTATAACTAAATAAACAGATAGGTTTCTTTGAGTTTATACATGGCAGATATCAGCAGTTATTCATGTTGATCAATAATCAATATTGTTTGAAAACAGCAAGACATAGGTTGACATTTAGGAGATATGGTAAGTTACATGGAGTGGATTAGGTAGTGCTTAGTTTTTCTCTTAAATTGTTTGCGAGATGGATAGTCTTTGAAGTGGTTGTGAAGGAAATGGAGGAAACAGCAGTGTGTTTTTCTGGCCATAGTGATTAGGAGTAGGACAATGATGCCGTGGTAGAGAAAATTATATACTGTACACCTGTAGTATGATTTCTCCAATTGCCATATGTGATTTTTTCCCATTAGATTTGTTAACTAATTTTAATTATGTACACTTTGATGTAGTACTTTATATGGTTGCACAGTTTAATGTATAAGAAACACAGATGATTTAATTTTGGTTCACAAACTAATATGGAAATTGCAAATCTCCCAACACACTTAAGCTTGCCAAAGAACTTCCCCAATAAGAGGTGACGCAATCACAGAGACAAGTCAAAATTTAAAGGTATTTAATCAGACCTCCTAGGGAAGGGTCAACTTAAAAGTGGTGTTCCAATACAGGACCCAACCACAGCAAAGCAACTGTCTTACACATAATTTGCGTATTAGTGCCTTTAAACTATACATTCTCAGGAACCTAAAGAGGATTCAGCGGAATCCGAGGTTGCAATACTTTTGACCATAGTCATGGTGTAGTGGTCTAGAGCATGCTTGGGAGTACCCAGCGCATAGGTTTGAATGCTCCTCATGGCTCCTAATGATTTTCTCATTGATACATCACGTTAACGCCTGCACTGCGCACCTGTTTTTGGCAAAAACTTCATAGTGCAATTGTTAAGGACATATTTTTGTTGTTTTTATAAATGTTCAGGTAAAGTTATTGAAAATGTTTCCAAACTCAACTATTTTCATTTCAAAACACAAGAGTGATGAAAACATTAAAATCTAGCCTAATTAAAAAAAATAGCACAACTCTCAGAATGACTTTTGTTGGCTGGCGCAATTGAGGGGTTAAGGGTCCTGATAGTACAGTCGGATTCGTTCTCGACGCACAAGTTCTCGTTATCTGTTAGATTAAGGACCTGCCCGAAATGCTATGCGTGCTAGTGACTGTACAAGAATGTAAAAACATGAATGCTATGTACTCTCATAAACCCAATGTACCTTCCAGTATATAAATAAATAAAACAATCAAGAATTCTGGGTTCGAGTCCCAGGCGGGACAGAAATGGTTGGGGACATTTCCTTTCACCTAGCAGTAAGTAGGTACTCAGGAGTTAGTCAGCGTGTTGTGGGGTTGCATCCTGGGCGGGGTAGTAATTTGACTTTGAGGGGCAGGGGTGGGGGGGGGGAGAACCTCGATAAAAGCCTAACATGTATGAACACACACACAGGCTTCCTGTCCCCGACACTGAATTATTATATTATTGTTATTTAATGTGATTTCTTTTTCATATTATTATTATTATTATGTGATCACAAAAGTAATGTCAGAGCTCCACCTTTTTTTCCACAAAAATACCTGAATTTTTTCCACAAAAACATCCTAAATGAAATGATCCTCACAGGAAAGACACATTGTGGCACTTGTATATAATGGAATGTGAAAAAATTGCAGAATTTAGAGATAACACCATCAATAGTGTCAAAGAAATGGGTAAGTACTTCAGTCATAATGATGTGCTGCCTGAAATCTTAGTGAAGTATCCAAAATTTGCTTACTGTAGGTAATGCATGCACATGACTGTAAAGCTGCCGCCCAGTTGGGTGGGTGTGGAGCAAGATTAGTAATTGTGTGACCCCACTATAGATATAAACTGCCTTGTATAGTGACTGTTGTGAGCCTCTTGTTGAATCATTTGTGATACAAAAGATTATTGATGTGTGTATTTGTGTAGGTGATTAAATATGCATGTGTATATATGTATATGTATATATATATATATACAGGTATGTACATGATGTATGAGTATGTGTACATGTATATATAACATTAATAATTATGTAACTAGCGTCAAAAGATTGTTATTTGCTTAGCTAAACGAACTAGAGGGTTCAGTTCCTGAACCAATTATGTGCCTCTATAATCCTTTACACCACCGCCCATGGGATGGGTATAGGGGTGCATAATAAAGAAAGAAATTGAATTGTTATATTGGAATACTATGCAACTTGTTACTTTCAAATAAAACTGTCTTTTTAAAGCACAGAATAAGTCACAATACTTAGTGTGAAATAAAAGATGGACTACGTTTCAGTCCATCCTGGACCCTTATCAAATCGTGACAAAGTAAAGTGTGGGATAGTCAATATAAGGCAAAAGGAAAGGTGAAGAGAAAAAAAGTAATGCATGGGAACATAAAAATAATACTGAACTTTATATTTGGACAAACCTCTCTCTCAGGAATATCATGTGATATGAAGAAAACATCCCTAGTGATGCCCCTGATATGTGGATATGTATGAACCGAAGGATGATTTTTCAACTGAGGATATATAGATGGCACGAGCAGTCTAGAGATGCTGGGCCTCATCCGATGTTGATATTCCAGAGTTTCATACCTAGAGAAAAGAAATATGCTTTCAAACACAAATCAGTGTAAGGTTTGATTGTATTAACACAATCAAGGAAGGCAACAGTTTTATATCGAAACACATCATGATCAAATTTCTTTTATTTGACGATATATGAAAATCCCTCTCGGGCTCTCTAACCACTTCCAAGTCTGGCAACCTGAGCAATGTACAGACCGTATCTGATCAAGTGGATTGTGATTGCTATGTAAACAATGAGTAGCATCAGTCTTAGTGATCAAATTATCACCGAGTAACCCGATCTCATGCCAAACGGTAGAAATAAGTCTTTTTAAACTGACCAGAAGTAAATTCCAAGTAAACCACACTACTGTATCACCAGGAAAGCTTGGCCTTGGGCACAGTTGCAATAGTACAGAAATGTTAACAATTTGCAATATATATATAGGTACAAAACACTGACCACAACTGTGTCAAATACAGTACTTACGAAAGGCCATTTTTGATCAATCTTTCAAACAAGGAAGTTTCCAGACCATACTTAGTTGCTAGCTCAAACACTGTGGCACTTGGACGAAGCTGCTGGTGATCTCCTAAAGCAAACAATGTTATAAATTAAACATTAACAAATGCAAATATATAGTTATAATTTATGGTTACTTTATACTCCTGTCTAAGAAGCGCAACAAAACCCCACTTGAATGGACAAATTTAAATGTAACCTAATCTGCTGCAAAAACCAGCATTGAATGTAATGAAACGCCATTTTCTGGGTGAGTCCCGGAGGCTCCCCGGAGCTTTCCCAGGCTGATATGCTAATGTCAGACTTTGGCATCAGTCATGTGTATGGACTTCTTAGGCCTAACGGGGACCACGGCCAGAACTGGGCCCCCTCAGAGACGCAAGGGGAGCAATGGCCTATAGAAACCCGTGTGGTTGTAAGCATTCTATGTCTGCCATTGACCGGAACAGGCACCCAGAAAGGTAAGAGCCTCCAAACAAACCCCTATTCTGGTTAAAATTGCTACCAAAAGCCAAACTAGTGGATAGAACTCCCCAACAGAAAACAAGCAAACTAGTGTGATGTCACACGTTGCCGCGCCGCTGTCTGCGCAGCTTCTCTCCTCCCCGGGAGGGGGAAGGGGGAGCCCCAGACCCTCCATGCCAGCTACCCACACCTCAGTTCTTGAAGCTGGATGTCAAAAACGCAAAAAAAAAACACCGACCGAGGGAGGGAGGGATGCCGGGGAACCTCCGGGACTCACCCAGAAAATGGCGTTTCATTACATTCAATGCTGGTTTTCTGGGGGGAGCCTTATCGGCTCCCTGGAGCTAACTACCCACAGACGGAAAAAGAGGGACTTACCCGGGAGGTGGTCGTCGCTCACTCCTCAACTCGAAGCCGAGACAACTGGCTGCAACCGCCGACCCAAAGCAATACAGGCTCGAAGGGGCCCAGGGACATTTACAAGGTAACGAGCAGCCAGGACCCTGTTCGACCGCCAAAAACCCTGCGCCCGAATATCAGACCAAGATATATTCCAAAAGATGGTAGCAAGAGCCGGGAACTTACGGACATCATGGCCATGGGGATAGACCGCAGGCTGGCTGGACTTGATAACCCTGCGGACGACCTGGGAGACCCGAACCCGCGAACAGAGAAGAAGGGAAACCGGATCAACCCAAAGCGCGTCCCCGGACACAGAAGCCGTGGCGCGCAAATAACGGCGAAGCGCCGCAACCGGACACAAAACATGATGCACCCCCGGCCGGACCAACCAAGCATCTACCACCCACGGACCCCTCCGGAACGCAGCAGTCTCATTCTTTGCCAGAAAAGAAGGAGACGGCTGCAAGCGAACAAAACAATCTCCACGACCAAAAGAGCAGAAACCCCTGCGCCGGAGGAGAGCATGAAGCTCCCCTACATGACCCCCAGAGGCTAATGCCAACAAGAAAAGAGCCTTGGAGAAACAATCCCGGACCGAAGGGGCCACAATGAAACGAGGAGACGAAAGGTAAGCGAGCACTCTGTCCAAAGACCAGGACAGCTCAGGCGGCGCATGAGCAGGCTGGAGGTGAAACAAGGAACAAGACAGCTTGCGAAACGGCGCAGACGTAACATCAATACTGAAGGCAAGCTGAAGCGGCTCCACCAGCGCCGCACGATACGAGGCGTCAGTGTTAGGCATAAGATGACGGTCCTCAAACAACCAAGAGAGAAAGGACAAGACCACCCTAACAGACAACGAACTAACACGACGAAGACGCAAAAAGAAACAGAAGGACCGCCAGGAAACTTCATACTGCCGCTAAGAAGAAGCCCTCAGGTGGGACACCAACAAGGAGGCCACCTGATCACCATAGAGATGATGATAGACTCGAGTAAAAAAAACCCATACGCGAAGACTCGAGGAGAAGATTGAACCAGCCACGTGACATACTGACCCGATCTGCTGAAAGAGGCGGAGCCGCTGGAAAACCCTCGGGTTTGGACACCGAGCAGGCAGCGCCTGAAACCAAGGCTGGGCCGGCTACCAAGGGGCCAGAAGGACAACTCTCCCCTGGTAAGTCTCCAAGCGAGTCAGGACCTGGAGTAACAGCCGAACCGGGGGAAAGAGGTACAGGAACCCCCAACTCGACCAGTCAAGCCGAAAGGCATTGACCCCGACGGCCTCACGATCACAAGGGCGCCGCGACCACGCCGACGCGAAGAGGTCCACCTCGGGGCGCCCAAACGTCTGGCAAAGCCAACGGAAGGAATCGTCGTCAACCGTCCACTCCGTGGAGAGGGGAACGAAGCGAGACAGGGCCCAAGACATTGGACACTCCCTGTACGTGAACCGCGAAGAGCCAAATCCCGAGAACTCAGCAGACGAATCACCCGGAGCGACCAACCCCAAAGAGACAAGGACTGCATCGAACCCCCGCGGTTGAAGCAATGATCCACCGGAGAGCAGTCCAAATGGAGCCGAATCGTCGATCCGTGGGCGACCCGAATCCTCCAAAGAGCAAACCACATTGCCACGAACTCCCGCACCGTGCTGTGAGCTCGACGGAAGGAAGGATCCCAACGCCCCTGGCTGGCCTGGTGAGCACTGGTCACAAAGCCCCAGCCGAGAGACGACGCATCCGTGTACACATCGAGAGGGCTCGGGTAGGCGCCAAGGCACTGAACCCCGAAAAACCCGAAGAGGAAGCTAGTGACGCAGCAGCCGATGCAAGGCCCCCGGGGGTGACCCCGAAGGAACCAGAACAGCCGACGAAGTCAAACCCGACCAGGTGGGTAGACCACCATCGCGAAGTTCAGGCTCTCGCACAGTCTCTCGAGCAACCGCCGGGTGACCCGAGGGCCCACCAGAAACAGACGAAGGCAGGAACACAGCCGCAGGAAAAACTCCGGAGGGAGAGACAAGGAGGTGGTCCGAGAGTCCCACACGAAACCCAGTCAAGTCCGAACCTGAGAGGGGACCAGATGGGACTTCCTCCAGTTCACCATGAACCCGAACCCTGCGAGCTGGGAAAGAACCAAATCCCTGGCTAGCAAGCAAGCCGACCGGCTGGGAGCCCAAACCAGCCAGTCGTCGAGGTAGGCCAACACCTGAACACCTAGGAGACGCAAACGGGCTACCACGACCCGCGTAAGGCGCGTGAACACACAAGGTGCCAGGTTCAACCCAAACGGGAGACAATGAAAGCGGTAACTCAGACGCCTCACAACAAAACCGAGCCAGTCCCTGAACCGTAGATGAATCGGAACATGCCAATCAGCGTCCCGGAGGTCCAGGGACACCATCCAAGCACCCAACTCCAAGAGGAGCTGAACCCAGCCAAGTCCGAACCTGAGAAGGGACCAGATGGGACTTCCTCCAGTTCACTATGAACCCGAACCCGGCGAATTGGGAAAGAACCAAATCCCTGGCTAGCAAGCAAGCCGACATGACAGCGTAGTCATCCAAAAAGAGGGACAATGAACCTGAGGGGTTCAGACTGGACTAGTCCAGAATGAACCGCACGTCCGCGCAGTCCCGTTTCGGGACTGGAAACAGACGGGAAACCTATCTGAGGGATGACGTCGTTTCGACGACGCCCAAGCGAACCCACTCCAGACGACCTGACAGAGCGCAGGGGAAGAAACCTGCCCTGCCAGCCCTGACACCCCCCCAACGCCACCCCAGGCCAACAGACACGACCCGAAATGCCCACGAATCGTGGGACCAGGCGTGGGCGAACAGCGCAAGCCGCCCCCCCCCCCCATCACCCTGTCAATGGGGCAAACCATGAAAGGGCCGACGCCCCTTACGAGACCCAGAACCCCGCACAGAGCGAACACCACGCCGACCAGACGAGGGAGGGTCCGAAGTAGGAGCCGAACCCGAACCTGACACCAGTGGCCTACCAAGACGAAAGGAACCCTGAGCCCTGGCACGACCCTTTCAGAAAGACCCACCCCAGGACCCCTGGAAAACCAACAAGTCCGACATCGGACGACAAGCCAATGACGCAGCCTGAATAAACTGCGCCACGGCCGATTCCTCAAACAGAAGAGGACAAAAAGGCGAAGAACGCCTAAGAGCCAGAGCCCAAGCAGATTCCACGGAGGAACCCAGCACCGCCTGCCGACACTCGAGACGGAAAGCATAAAACAGGGAAACCGCATCCCGCAAAATCGACGTGAACAGCTTCATTAAGGCAGCCGACGAACGTGCTGCCGAGGACAAGGCGCCGGACCCCAGGACGGACCCAAGCGTCCTCACATCCTCCACGAGCCAATCCGAGGACAGCTCCAGGAGGGAAAAGAACCGCAAGGCCGAAGCCAAAAGACCCTGGGCGCGCAAGTCCTCCGCTATGAGCGCCGCCGAAAGGGTGGGAACCTGCACATGGAGCTGAATAACACCCACATCGCGGGGAAGGGCAGGGGCAAACAAGCACTCATTCAGGTACTTAAGATAGCCCCCCAGGAAAACCTGAAGCAACGTGGAAGCTTCCCACTCCAGCATGTGGGAACGACAGAAGGAATGCCAGGAATCCAGAACAAACAAGGGGCAGTCCGCTAACCAGGAAAACTCCGGAACCTTGTAATGGAGCCAGAAAGGGAACGAAGTCCCAAACCTGAACTCGGACGGACCCATTTCCGAGGCATAATCCAGGTCACGCAGGAGGTAAGCTGCAAAGGCCACCTGCACCACACCAGGTTGGATGCGATAAGCCGAAAACCTCCGGAAAGACAGAACCGACGTACCCAGCGGAACACAGAACCGAACCCGGGGAGGGGCCAACACCAAATCCAACTCGTACGCAGAGGGGGGGAAAAGACCACCCCACACCTTGTAACAATAAGCCCTGCTCAGAGGGAAGAAAAACCCAGGCGGGGTCCAGCGGGGCCCAAGGCACACAAGTCAGCCCCTCCCCAGCCTCGAGTTCCTTCACCGCAGGACCTGGGGCCGAGTCCTCTCCCCAAGCCACGACCCCACAAGACAAGGATGGAGCAGCCGTAGAAGCTGGAAGAAAGGGGGGGCCCACTGGTCAGACCCAGAAGCCTCGGCTAGGAGACAAGACTCGAATGCCTCTACCACCCCCCTGGAAGGGGCAC